GGCTGAAGGAGATCGGGACCCCGATGGGTGGGGAAGGAGGGACCCTGAGCCAGGGCTCTGAATGTGGGGATGCTGCTCTCTGTAAGCCTGCAGCCTTGGACCCGCACCCCAGACCCCTGCCCTGGGCTGTGCCCCAGCTAAGCCAGGATGCCCGGTGCCCTGTGAGCGGGGAGGAGCATTTCCCCCTCCGCTGGCAGCTGAGGCTGAGTCACCGGCATGCTACGTGAGCTACCTCATCATCACAGCAGCACTCTCATGTCAAGGGATGCGTTGCGTTGGTTGCAATGGACCTTACAACCTGCCTTGCCCCCACGTTTTGGGAGGGATGCCCTGGCACCGATGCCATGAGGCAGGACCCCTCCAAGCCCTGGTGATGGCTGTATCCCGCTGCAACGGTGGTGGCCTGTCCACAGCAGCGCTGGGGCTGTTTCTTTACTGTTTCAAAGCAAGGAGATTTGCAGCCGTTTCTCAAATCCCATGTTTGCTTGAGCCCTTTCTGGGGATTTTGGATAGGGCCAATAATACCCTGGGCTGCTAATCCCACTGCCCACCCGGTGGTCCTGCAGCTCTGGGCTTTGCATCCCCTGGTCCCATCCCTCCAAGCAGACAAGGCTCACCCCAAACTCCTCATCCTCCTGGCTGTGTCCATCCATCCCCATGCCTCCCAACATCAGTAGGGATGCAGCCCTTGCTAACAGTGGCTGTGGTCTCTGCTGTGGGGACGAGGAGCCTGGAGGGAAGGGGATGGGAGGGCTTTGGTGGATGTCACCTCTTGGTTGGAGGGCAGGCAACCTCTCTCCATGCTCCCCTGGCCCACCAGGCCAGCGTGCCGGGGCGTTTGGTCTCTGATCCCTGCGTGCCTTTTGACAGACAAACTTTGCTTCAACACCTTCTTCAACTACGAGGACATGCAGGAGATCACGAAGCACTTTGTGGTGTGCCATGTGGACGCGCCGGGCCAGCAGGCAGGAGCCTCGCAATTCCCTCAGGGGTAGGTGCCAGCTTCAGGGGCTCGCTATGCCCGCCGGGACGTCATCTCCCTGCCTGCTGGGTTGTCGCTGCCTGGGCAGTTGTGCCATGCCAGCAGGTCTCTCCGAACCATGTCAAAGCCCGTGGCAGCCGACTGGCCCAGGGTGGGCAATGGGGTGGTTTGCGGGTGGGTGGCATTTCCCTGCCCACTTCGGGCAGCCCAGCTGCCCTGTCCCAGCCTTCCCGCTCTGTGTGGGTCCCATAACTACCGTCCTGTGCCTCCCTGTGCCGCAGGTACCAGTACCCATCCATGGACCAGCTGGCTGCCATGTTACCTAGCGTGGTGCAGCATTTTGGGTGAGTCAGCCTTTCCTCCTCAGCTGCTGGCTGAGGGTGCTGGGCAGGGAGATGGGCAGGAGGCAAGGGTTTGGGGCTGGGGCAGTTGTCCCTGTAAGCTGGTACCCTACACGTCTTCTTATGCTCCATGCTGTGGGAGGAGGGCTGCCCCAGGGAACCTGTGCTGGAGCCCACTGTTGCCCCACATGCACCTCTCCGCTTTCCAGGTTCAAGTACGTGATCGGGATCGGTGTTGGGGCAGGAGCCTACGTGCTGGCCAAGTTTGCGGTGAGTCTGGGGCTGGGATGGGCTGGCCCTGAGTTGCCCATACCTGCTGTCAGCCTGGGGCATGGGGAAGAGCAGGAGCTGACACCCCTGGGCAAGCTGTGCTGCTGCGAAGGCTCCTGGAGGGACAAGGGGGCCGCAATGGCAGTGCCATGGCCATGGTGGCTGGGCAGTCTTGCCACAGGTCTCCCATCGCTCCCAGGGCAGGGCCACATCAGCCCCGTGCAATGTCTGTGCAGTGGGCAGCAGTGCTGGTGGGGGGCTGCCCTGGGCGCATCTTCCCTTCCCACTGAGCATCACTTGCTCACTGCAGCTCATCTTCCCTGACCTGGTCGAAGGACTGGTCCTCATGAACATCGACCCCAATGGCAAAGGCTGGATTGACTGGGCAGCTGCCAAGGTAGGCAGGGCCCTGACCCCGGCTCCCAGCCCTGATGGCTCCCTGGGGCAGG